TCATATCTCGCACGACGCATTTTTTATTTATTTATTTTTAATCGCTGAATTTAGTTAATTCTTCATTCCCTTTTTCCGTCCCTGTGGAGACGATACTCGTACTTACACCACTATATTACGATCTATTTTAAGTGCGAGAAAACACACATTAAACATATTCCTTAGTCCTAGGTTCAGATTTATCATTCTCACGATTTACATAAGCAGTACAACCAAACACTCTCAAATTTGGCAAGTCAAGCGGTTTGCCCATGAACACATATTCAGGGCATTTCCCTCCTAAGGGAACAGACGGGGACAGATTAACCAAATCAACAGCATAACAAATAGCTTCCCCCCAGAACTTATTAGAGAGCCCAGATGAAGCTAACATAGCCCTCACCCTCTCTAATAAAGTTCTAACCATCCTCTCAGCAACCTCATCCAGCTGGGGTGTGGAAGGGAGAGATTTATGCATAGAAATACCCCAAGTATCACATAAATCACCAAGCTGATCATCACAGAAATCAAAACTGACAGTGGTCTTTAAAAAATTTATTTTCTTACCGGTTTGTTTTTCAACAAGGGTTTTCCAGTTTTTAAACTTATCAAAAACTTCAGATTTATTTTCAATCAACAAAACCCACACTTTCTTTGAAAAATCATCAATCTACGTCAGAAAATAATTTTTCCCACCATGAGTGGAAACACTATAAGGACCACACAAATCAGCATGAATACAATCAAGCACATTAGTACACTTAGGCAGATCGGGAAAACCAACTCTAGACTGTTTTCCTAGCACACAGGGTTGCACACAATTCACAGAATCAAGTAGGGGTTGTGTAACACTTGAGATTTAATATAAACGGATTAATAGTACTACTCATACCAACAAGGTGCATCTCCTTTTAAGGGAGCTCATCTCCTAAGAACTCCAAAGTTAAGCGTGCTTGCACGGGAGTAGTCTTGGAATGGGTGACCCCCTGGGAAGTTTCTCAGGGCACGCACGAGTGAGGACAAAGTGCGCGCAAAAAGCTTGTGACGGTTTGTGAGGACAGTACTAGAGGTCTGGAGGGTGTGTGGAGTAACTACCTTGGACCCTTCGGGGCCAGGGTGTTACAAATGGTATCAGAGCAACCCTGCGACCATGTGCTGATCCGTTGGATATCGGGCAGACACTTGGCAGGGGAAAAAAATTTTGGGGTTTGATTGAGACTGGTTTAAGGGCGCAACGAGGATGTTGCGATCCTAAGTAGGGGTGATTGTAATACCCGAGATTAATTTAAGAGGATTAATAGTACTACTCATACCAAATGTACATCTCTTTTTAAGGGAGCTCATCACCCAAGAACTCCAAAGTTAAGTGTGCTTGCACGAGAGTAGTCTTGGGATGGGTGACCCCTGGGAAGTTTCTCAGGGCCCGCATGAGTGAGGACAAAGTACGCGGTAAAAGCTCGTTGTGGTTTGTGAGGATAGTACTAAAGGTCTGCAGTAACTACTTTGGGTCCTGCGGGGCCGGGGTGTTACAGGTTCAGCATGACAAACATACAAGTGTTTTTTAATCTTAGCTTTGAAAACAACTAAACAACCCTTCACAACTTTCATGATTTCTTTTCCTCATTTTCCCTTCAAACCCTCATTTTCAAGAGAAGCACAAGATAGCAAATTACAACACAACTTAGGAACATGCCTAACATTCTTCAAAGTAAGCACCTAACCAGAAGAGAACCTAAACCATACATCTCCTATTCCTAGCACATTGCATTTCTTCTCATTTGCTAAAGACACAAAGCCATACTCAATCTCTCTATAGTTTGAAAAAACATTTTTCAAAGGGGGCATATGAAAAGTACAACCAGAATCTACCACCCAATCTGATTTACCCAAAGAATCAGATATCATAGAACTCATGTAGTCAAAATCACATAGATTACTCATCATAAAAACATCACCTAAATCATCTTCACACGTAGTCAAATTAGCATGCTCACTATGCTCATTTTTCCTAGATTTAGGACAGTCTTCTATGAAATGACCAGGTTCATGACAATAATAGCAACACCTCAAATTAGACCTAGACTTAGATCTATGTGGTCTACTATTATCTCTACCCCTCACATGCATAACTTCCTCATATTTTCTACCCTCACCCATCTGTTTTAAATCTAATTCCTTACTCATAAGATCATTTACCACAATGTCAAGAGTCACATTATCTCTACCATACTTAATAGCAGATTTCACATCATTAAAGGAATCAGGAATAACATTTAAAAGAGCAACAGGGGAATAATCATTTGTATGCTTATCACCACACAACTTAATATCCGAAATAAGTTTGGTAAAAACATCTAGATTTTCTTCAATATCCTTAGACATATCTAGTCTAAATTTGAAGAACTTTTCTAGTAAAAATATCCGGTTAGGCAAAGAGGTCTCAGTATACAGTTCATTCAATTTATCCCACAGAATTTTAGCACTCTCTAAAATTCCAACTTTTCTAATCACAGAGTCAGATAAGTTCAAATAAATCACAGAACATGCATTTTCATTCATTTCAGCCCTTTTATCTTCTGTGTCAGAAATTAAATAGGTTTCACCAACTGCTTTAAAACATTTTTGTTGTATTAAAATACATTTAATTTTTTGCTTCCAAATGCTAAAACCAGATTTTCCATTAAATGGAGCCATACCATACTGATTATAAGCAGACATTTTCACATAGAAAAACAAGCAACAAAAGAAAATGTAAATTTCGCTGAAAAACAATTTAAATATTTATATGGCTATAAATATATGAAGCAACTAGCATGAACACGCGGGGAGTATTAATGAGCACCAAACTCAAGTTCAAACCCTTTGTTATTCCGTATAAGCACAAATAAATAATAAATTTTCAGCACAAAACAACACAACAGTTCTATCAATTTTAAAAACAGTGTAAACCTAAAACAAGAATTTCTACACAATAAAAGACTAAAAAATCACTACAAAAGTGATAAAAAGGTTTAAAGTCAATATACCGGAGCGAAACCCTAGGAGAGGCGTTTCGACCTTACCCACCCAATTTAAAAATTGGGATTTTTCGGAGTTGATGAACTGTTGACTGCCTTTGACCGAAGACTTTTCTGCCAATGAACCCGTTCAGCTCCAGTCAATGCTCCAAGCTTCTGGGTCCATTCCAACATTTGCAGCCCAACCCAAATCCAGCTTCGTCCTTCAGCAACCAGCATCAATCCGGGTCCAGCAGTGTAATCCAGTTCAACAACCAGCAGCTCCAGGCGTCCAGGTTCAATGTTGACGCGTGACAGCTTCCAGCGTTCAACCTCTGCAATCTTTGTCCAGGTCTTCATGCCTCAATTCCAGTCAAGCCCTCTGCTTCAAGCTCCTGAAATCGTCTCCCTGTCGAAATTGATGACGGCTTCCAGGCGATGGCTTCAGCGACGAACCAATCGGCAAGCAACGACCTCTCTGCGACGGAGACGAGCAGGGCAAAACTCCGGCGATGTCTCTCCGGCAGACAACGGTTTCTGCGGCAAACAACCCACAAGCTCCGGACGGATTTGGGCGGAAAAAGCTCGAGCGAGGCTTCTCAGTGTCAAGCGACCTCCAGCCACGAGTACCAAACTTCCAGACCTCAAATCGGCGGCGAACAGCGGCGAACGGCGGCGGATGGCGGAATCCATTGAAATCGATGGCGACGACAACACAAGCTTTGATATCACTGTTGAGGATCGTTTCCGTTGCTGTATTCTGGCTCAGGCAGTCCGGAGCTCGGTTTTCAGTGGTCTCTTGTGCACACCTAGGCTAAGGGAGCAACACACCTTTCTAGCCTCGCCAACACTCACACTCACCTCACCAAGAAGGATGGATAGTTTGGCTCACTCACTGGTATTTACTCACCTCACCATGTTATACTCCTTACTCACACAAAGGGGTCAGGAAGAAAGAGGTTGGCTGAGCTATCACTCTGTACGCTCCACTCTCACAAGCAAGGGTGCAGGGGCTGTCCTTATAGCATAGGATATTTTGTCTTATTAGAAGGACACTCAAATAATACACTACACACACAGCTCACCATTAGCTCAATAATGAGCTGAATTTGAATTCTTACGGGAGGGGAAAATACTGATAGGCCAGACAGATAAATGGGTACAGTGTAGTGGGCTGCTAGAAGGTGTGTTAACCATTATTAATGTACAAAAAACGTTTGGGCCAACAATATATTAACAATACTCTTGCACGGATTGAGCCCGTCATTACACAGCGCGCTATCGCAAGAACTCTGCCTCTGGTTGTTGCTGTCATCTGGTGTGCCCGCCGATGCCGAAACACCCCAACCACCACCGCCAATGGATTACGGGCCCGGATTATAATGTAAGAGAACTAGGCCAAGGGCGATTGTTAATTATACCAAGTATTAATTATATATAGTGGAAATTGCCCGTTAGGACAACTTTTCACCCTGGTAATTCGTTTATGTCGCATGAGTATTTTTTTTTTTAATTTTAACTTTCACTTTTTCAGTTTAACATTGTTATTTCAAAAATAGTCAAAAAAACTCGAGATTCGTATATGCGCAGATCTTAATCTGTTTCTTTTCTCAGGTCCTCCATAGCTCATCGCTCTTTTCCTTTCATTGTCGAAAAAATCGGAAGATGCTCGTCAGTGTCAAATCGATAATCATCAAGCATCCTGGTGGTGAGGCCTGAGGTCTGACAACCACAGTATCCTCCGGTATATGCTATTTCTGTAACCAACGAGAATTCGGAAACTTCATCCGCCAGAAGTGGAGGAAAAAGCGGACACGAACAAGGAATTTGCTTCCCTAATTAACTACATAAGGTTAATTCGGCTAAATATGTAAGAATTTCTTATCTACTGGCTCATATGCTCTTACTTTGTCTGCACTTCAAAGAACTATACCACACTTCGTGAAGGCTGTCGACTCCTCCGTCCGAGACACCAACTGGCAAAATTGTTGAAACTTGAGGCCATGGACGAGATCAGAGGAGGTGGAGAGACACAAAGGCAACCTCGATTTCATGTTGTGCAGGGCGAAACAACACTCCTCGACACGGATAACGACGGTTTCAACGTAAGCTATCAATATAGCGTTGAGGATTAATATTGTATTATGGTGCTTGCGAGATCATGCGATGATGCAGAAGGAAGGGCTGTTATGGTTGCTTTGTTGGAGGATGAGGTTATGGCCTTAAAATCTAGGAAGGAATGGTCAATTTCATAATCAATTGATTCAGCAAAAGCAAAGGTAAAGTTAATACATGACATCTCTAATGGCGTTTGGTGTGTTTGAATTTGTTAATTAGATTCAGTGGAACTGATACGTTTATAATTTCCGTATGTTTATTTACGCTTTTAGTTAGTTTTGATTGTTTAATATTTCGGAAATTACACACTTTCGGTGTAATAGTTTAGTTTGTTAAATTCTTGTAATTTGTTTAGATTAGGTTTATTCTGAGCTTAAACAGGTCCAAGATCAATCAAATGATCAATGGTGAAGGAAGGTGCAAGAGTACAAGACAAAAAAGAAGGAAAAATCCTGATTTTGGTCTATACTCGATCGAGTATATACATATACTCGATCGGGTATCTGGTTGACATTTCAAATCGGATCGGATCCGAAAACAAAGGAACATGCAGGAGAAGATTTTCCCACGTTCGAGTGTCTATACCCGATCGGGTATGCTTATATACTCGATCGGGTATGCATATAAAATCTACTCGAGTATTGATCGAGTATTGACCAAATTCTGATTTCTATACATACTCGATCGAGTATGTATACATACTCGATCGAGTACTCGATCCTGCACCTCAAAAAGCCTATAAATACACCCCCTTTCCTTCACTTTTAGATACCAATTCCTTTATACTCTAAAGCTCAGTTTAGAATAGAATTTCTCTATATTTCTTTTAGCATGTTTAGTCTCCAAATGAGGAGCTAAACTTCCATTTCTTGGTATTGCTCTTGAAGCTTGTTGATTATTAAAGTTGTGAGTTATTTTCTTAACTTCTTTTCCTTGAATATTAATTCTTTCTTTAAATACTATTTCTATATCAATGTTGGGGAGTGTTACTAAGATGACAATTAGTTAACATCTTGACATTGGTTTTAGTAATAGCTATTCCTTCCTCTATGTTAATATCGGGGAGTGTTACTAAGATGACAATTAGTTAACATCTTGATATTTAACTTTAGTAGGATTCATTCCCTTTAATATTCTTCCTTGAGTATTAATTAATTCCTATGCATATTTCATATTAATATTTTGAACATTACTTAAAGGATCAACTAGTTTTGTTTCATATATTAATTACTACTAGAAATGATCAACGAACCGATGGTTAATCGTTGATAGTTTCACAAGTAAGTAACTTCGGTTTATTAATGCACGGTCGTGGTTAATAGACTTAAGAGGGATTAATTTTGTTGGTTAAACCGAAACCGTTGTGTTAAGGTTATCAATCTCAATTGATTTCATCAAGGAGTTAAAAGATTAAATGCTACTATCAAGTCGGTATATGGCGTTGTTCTATACTTGACTAATAGTAAGGGTTATTAATGAACGATCGTTGTTAATAACTATCCTCGATGAATTGGATATACTCCTCGATTGAGTATTCGAGAGGAGATAAGTTATAGATATAACAATGATCGACTAAAATATATCAACAAGTGGAAAGTAGCAATACCAAGTCAATTTTATCTTTGAATTAAATCCCATATAAATCGTTCATCTTCGTGTTTAAATTTAATTAAATCACTCAATAATCAAAACCCCCCTTTACTTACTATTTATATAAAAAGAAAGTTATTCCTTTCCCTGTGGATACGAACTCTACTACGCTATACTACGTATAAGTGCTAGTATTGAATATTATTTTGAGTGCACTCACGACAAAGTGCACGTCAAATTTGGCGCCGTTGCCGGGGATGGGCAATTAATTTTTCTTTTTATTTTATTTTAAAGAAAAAGAAAAAAAAAAATATAGTTGAAGTATAGAGATTTCTATTTCTTCTGAGCTTTTGTTTGAGTATATGGTAAGAACCCGATCTATAAACGAAATCACCTACCAAACAACCCCCCAAACGGAACAAGCCTTCGAAAGGTTTAGGAATTTATTTCCGAATACTTCTTCGGAGGAATCATCAAGTGCTAGTTCTCAATCTAGCGAGACCGAAGAGCCAATCACTATGGCTCTTGAAACGAGAACATTGAGGGAGCTCACGGCTCCGAATCTAGATCAACAACCCCTATGTATCACTTTTCCAACTCTGGATACGGGGGTCACATTTGAGCTAAAATCTGGGCTCATTCATCTACTCCCATCCTTCCATGGCTTACGAGGGGAAGATCCAAACAAACACTTGTCGGAGTTCCACATTGTGTGCACAAGCATGTGCCCCAATGGTGTCTCCGAGGAGCAGATCAAACTGAGAGCCTTCCCATTTTCCTTGAAGGACACCGCGAAGGACTGGCTATTCTATCTTCCTTCAGGAAGTATCACTACATGGCCACAAATGAAGAAGGCCTTTCTTGACAGGTACTACCCCGCTTCTATTTCATCATCACTCAAGAAGCAAATAAGCAACATCGAACAAAAAGATGATGAATCCCTATATGAATATTGGGAGAGATTCAAGAAGCTATGTGCAAGTTGCCCCTATCACGGATACACCGAACAAGACCTCATCCTCTACTTCTATGATGGTCTTGTGGATCAAGATCGTCGCATGGTGAATGCGGCGTGTGGAGGGGGCATTGTCAACAAAACCCCTTCGCAAGCAAGAGATCTCATCTCGGAGTTGGCCGAGAACTCCAGACACTATAACGGGCGATCCTCAACTCGAAGAGTTATGGCGGCAGAATCCAACAACGCGTTGGAAAGTCAAGTGAACGGCTTGACCAGTCAAGTGACCGGCTTGACTTCTTTGGTTAAGGATTTCCTTTTAAAATCCAAGACCCAAGAAGTCAAGGTCTGCGGTATCTGTACACAACAAGGGCATCCCACGGACTCATGCCCAACTCTTCAAGAGGACACCACAGAGCAAGTCAACGCTTTGGGGTTCCAAGGCCACCAACAAAGGAGGTATGACCCGTTCTCAAATTCTTACAATCCCGGATTGAGGGATCATCCAAACTTAAGGTATGGAAACCCTCAACAAGCCAACCCACCTTCTCAATCGAGTATGTCTACGGAAGACATGATTCGAACTCTTGCTACTACCATGGGCACCTTACATCAAAACGTGGTGCAATTTCAACAAGAAACAAAGTCAAGCATTCAAAATTTGGAAACTCAAGTTAGCCAAATTTCGAGTGCTGTAAATCGACTTGAAGCAATAGATTCGGGTAGGCTCCCGTCCCAAACTGAGCAAAACCCAAGGCAACAAGTCAATGCCATCATGCTAAGGAGTAGCCCGGAATCACAAGCAAAGGAAAGTGAAAAAGAGGAGATTGACCACAAGGAGGAGGAGCCAACGAAGAGAAAATTTCCTCCACTATCATCATATGAACCAATCCCTCCATTCCCTGAGGCATTGAAAGATACAAGGAAGCTAGAGAGTGATCGGGACATCTATAAGACCTTCACCGATTGTGAGGTAAATACCCCACTCTTTAAACTAATCCAAAGTGTTCCCCGTTATGCAAAGTTTTTGAAAGAACTATGTGTAATAAAAAGAAAAGATAAATTAAAGGGGAAACCAAAGGTTGAAGTTAGTGAGCATGTCCCGGCCGTCTTTCAGAAAAAATTTCCAAAAAAATGTGACGACCCGGGCATGTTCACTATTCCTTGCACGATAGGAAACACCACATTTCCTAAGGCCTTACTAGATTTGGGGGCATCTATAAACGTCATTCCTTATTCCGTTTATAAAACCCTACAACTTGGCCCACTACATCAAACCGGCGTAGTGATTCAACTAGCAGATCGTTCTAGTACCTACCCAAAGGGTGTATTAGAGGATGTGCTAGTAGAAGTAGAGAATATGGTTTTTCCCGTCGACTTCTACGTCCTCGAAATGGGGAATGATGACCAAACAGCACCCATCCTCTTGGGAAGACCCTTCTTAAAGACCGCAAAAACAAAAATTGACGTGTCTAGTGGTTCATTAACTTTAGAGTTCAATGACCAAAAAGTAGAGTTCAATATCTTTGACTCTACGAAAAAACAAATTAAAGATCAATCTCTTTGCTCTTTAAATGTTTTTGAACCACCAACGCCAAATGCTTTAATTGAGTCGGGAACAAAGAAGAAAGGTCGGCCTTACTGGAAAAGGCAAAAGAAAAAAAATGAAGGAAGGGATGCTCACGATCCCACATAAAATAAAAATAAAAATAAATAAAACGTCGTGCCACGACGTTAAATAAGGCGCTTCTTGGGAGGCAACCCAAGTCAATTAGTTAGATTTTATTTCCTTTTTGTGTAAATTTGAGAGAAAAGAGAGAGAGGGAACTAATCACATGTTTGTTTTGAAGAAGAAGAAAATGCAGGTTTTGAAGTGTCTGGAGGCATACTCGATCGGGTATACCTCTTTACCCGGTCGAGTATGAACTGAAATAAGAAGAGAAAAAAATCTGTCTCCTGTACTCGATCGAGTACAGGTTGATACTCGATCGAGTATTGGTGGAAAAATGAAAGCAATAAGCCCCTGCCTCCTATACCCGATCGAGTACATATCAATACTCGGTCGAGTATAAGTGGAAAATCAACTTTTCTATGCCCCTGCCTCCGGTACCCGATCGGGTATACAGGGATACTCGATCGGGTACCCCTGCGATTAATACCCAAACAACACCCATTTTCACTTCATCTTCTCCAAAACACTCCCAACTTCGAACCCCTCTCCCCCAAAACTCCATTTTTCCACCTTCTCTCTACCAAAACTCCCTCATTTCTCCACCAAATCAACCCATTCTTCCACCAAAATACTCCCCTTCCTCTCCTCTCCATATCTATACCCAAAAATTCCATTTTCCCCAAACTTCCACAAAATCCCAAAAAACCCTACCCCATTCGAATTTTTGCCTCTTCAAGCTCAAATTCATCAACAATGGCACCAAGGAAGAATAGGGGAGAGAGCTCAATCACCATAGCACCCATCCCGGGCTTTGAAGACATCATTCCCGCCGACGCCGAACACCGAACTAGACTCTTATCAACAACAAAAAGGCAAGTAAAACCTTCCCGTTTTCTTTGCCATGATGCTCTACGAGAATTAGGAGTCTATAAGAGTTGTAGAAAATTCTTTCATGCATTAGATATGGACCGTATTTTCAATATGAAATACAATTCTAATGAACGGATTATCTACGAATTCTTGAGTTCGGTGAAATTTGAAAGTGATGAGGCGGATTTTAGGGATGATAGACTCGAGTTTCGTCTGTTTAACCGAAATTATTCAATAACGAAACTCGAGTTTGCTGAACACTTTGGTATCCCGGTGCCCTACGAGAGAGCCATCTCGGATAACACCATTTTTGGGCACTCCCTATGGACAAAGATGACCGGGGAAGTGAGCTTTAACTCCTCCCAAATGTATATTAGTCATGTCCAACACCCCGTCCTCCGGTTATTCTTGAAATTCTTAGCCAATTGCTTGCTTGGCCGTCCCAACAACCATCACACTAGAATTGGGGACGTTTGTTTGATGTCCGTGGCCCTATTCCGTCGTCACGTAGACTTTAATCTGTGCAATCTCATGTGGGCACATCTGAAAAAAGAAAGCGTAGCCAAAGGAGCCATTGTTTTGGGAGGGGTAATTATGCACTTGGCCGGAAAATTCGGGTATACGGATAACTCTCCTATACCCGAATATTGTTTGATGGACATAGGTTGGTTAGGCCGATCAGGCTGCACCTCTTTTTCTCATACAGTGTACATTGGAGACCAACCAAAACACATGTACAACTGGATCATACACGTCCAGCCGGTCCAATACTTCCTTTTGCCAAACCCCGACACTCCCAAAATCATCTACAGGCCGGAGTTCGAGGTGCCCCACTACCTATTCCCTCACGCCCTACCACCACATCTCCAAGAACCACAAGCCCAAGATCTCCCCGAAGACCAACCCGACCAAGAGCCTCAACCCGAGTACCAAGAACCCGAGGTTGCACATCACCACATGCCCGCACCTAACCAAGCTTTCCCACCTCCCGATTACTTCCAACAACTGCTTGACGGATTTAATAGAGTTACTAACGAAGTTGGTAAGTATCGGGAGGAACAAAGGGCGGGATTTCAAAGAATAGAAGAGCAAAGGGCCGAAGACAACCGACGGTATGAAGAGGATCAACGTAGGTTCTATGGACCGATGTACTCTTACATGGCTCATCAAGGCCAATTCCACACCATGGCTCAACCACCACCACCCCCCTCTTGGTATGACCCCACTCAATGGGGTAATTTTGGAGGATCTAGCTCCGGGGGTGGAGGTTTTGATGGAGGGGATGATGGCGGCGACACCCACATGGGCGATGGGAGCTTTGGAGGAGGCTTTGGAAGCGGCTTTGGAGGCGGCTTCTACGGCGGAGAAGGCGGGCACTAGGGACAATGCTTCAACTAAGTGTGGGGGAGGAGATTACTCATGGTATGTAATTTCATTTTCTACCTTTTACTATGCATGAATTTCTTTTACCCTTTGTAAACAAAAAAAAAAAAAGAAGAAGAAGAGAAAAATGGATAAAAGAATTGAAATGCTAGTTAGGTTGAAAACCCAAAAATGGGCAATCTAAGCAAAAAAATGGCTTATAAAAAAATGAAATGAGTGAGTTAGTAAGGATGGAAAAACAAAAAGAGATGCTAGGATGAAAACCTGAAAAGGCTCCTAGGCAAAATGAGAGATATGAGAGAAATATTTGTTGTGTGCAGGAACTCATTTGATCTCTTGAGGAGAAAAGAAGAGAAGGCAAAGAAGAAGAGGCAAGAAGATGGAGCATAGAAGATCATAAAACCCAAGAAAGAAAGTTGTTTGTAAAAATCATTCTCTTATTTCTTGGTGATCTTAGTTCATTTCTTTCTTGAACTCATGGAATGGTCTTAAACTGTTTGAACATTTGACTTAACTCGAGGACGAGTAAAGAACTAAGTGTGGGGGAGTTGATACGTTTGTAATTTCCGTATGTTTATTTACGCTTTTAGTTAGTTTTGATTGTTTAATATTTCGGAAATTACACACTTTCGGTGTAATAGTTTAGTTTGTTAAATTCTTGTAATTTGTTTAGATTAGGTTTATTCTGAGCTTAAACAGGTCCAAGATCAATCAAATGATCAATGGTGAAGGAAGGTGCAAGAGTACAAGACAAAAAAGAAGGAAAAATCCTGATTTTGGTCTATACTCGATCGAGTATATACATATACTCGATCGGGTATCTGGTTGACATTTCAAATCGGATCGGATCCGAAAACAAAGGAACATGCAGGAGAAGATTTTCCCACGTTCGAGTGTCTATACCCGATCGGGTATGCTTATATACTCGATCGGGTATGCATATAAAATCTACTCGAGTATTGATCGAGTATTGACCAAATTCTGATTTCTATACATACTCGATCGAGTATGTATACATACTCGATCGAGTACTCGATCCTGCACCTCAAAAAGCCTATAAATACACCCCCTTTCCTTCACTTTTAGATACCAATTCCTTTATACTCTAAAGCTCAGTTTAGAATAGAATTTCTCTATATTTCTTTTAGCATGTTTAGTCTCCAAATGAGGAGCTAAACTTCCATTTCTTGGTATTGCTCTTGAAGCTTGTTGATTATTAAAGTTGTGAGTTATTTTCTTAACTTCTTTTCCTTGAATATTAATTCTTCCTTTAAATACTATTTCTATATCAATGTTGGGGAGTGTTACTAAGATGACAATTAGTTAACATCTTGACATTGGTTTTAGTAATAGCTATTCCTTCCTCTATGTTAATATCGGGGAGTGTTACTAAGATGACAATTAGTTAACATCTTGATATTTAACTATAGTAGGATTCATTCCCTTTAATATTCTTCCTTGAGTATTAATTAATTCCTATGCATATTTCATATTAATATTTTGAACATTACTTAAAGGATCAACTAGTTTTGTTTCATATATTAATTACTACTAGAAATGATCAACGAACCGATGGTTAATCGTTGATAGTTTCACAAGTAAGTAACTTCGGTTTATTAATGCACGGTCGTGGTTAATAGACTTAAGAGGGATTAATTTTGTTGGTTAAACCGAAACCGTTGTGTTAAGGTTATCAATCTCAATTGATTTCATCAAGGAGTTAAAAGATTAAATGCTACTATCAAGTCGGTATATGGCGTTGTTCTATACTTGACTAATAGTAAGGGTTATTAATGAACGGTCGTTGTTAATAACTATCCTCGATGAATTGGATATACTCCTCGATTGAGTATTCGAGAGGAGATAAGTTATAGATATAACAATGATCGACTAAAATATATCAACAAGTGGAAAGTAGCAATACCAAGTCAATTTTATCTTTGAATTAAATCCCATATAAATCGTTCATCTTCGTGTTTAAATTTAATTAAATCACTCAATAATCAAAACCCCCCTTTACTTACTATTTATATAAAAAGAAAGTTATTCCTTTCCCTGTGGATACGAACTCTACTACGCTATACTACGTATAAGTGCTAGTATTGAATATTATTTTGAGTGCACTCACGACAAAGTGCACGTCAGGAACCATGAATTTGTATCGTAATGTTTTTGTTAGCTTCATCTTGATATGTTGCATGCTAATGAGTGTGGTCAGTTTTACAATGTGCAGATGAGATATAATTCTTTGTTTTGTGTTCTATTTTTTGAAATATGTACTTATTTGATATTATTATATGTTGTTTTATTTCCATTTGTCTTGTTTCTTTTTGTTGCTTTTGTTGTTTTTTGTTGCTTTTTTATTTGTTGCTTTTTGTAGTATTGTGTATCTTTTGGTTGCACTATGCTGCTTCATGTTTATAACTTTTAACTACTTGTTTATATTGTTTGTTTTTATTTATGATTCAATTTGTATATTGTTATTCGATATTTGGGAGCTGCATAGGCACACACATCTATAGTTGTAAAATTGAACCATTGATTGCTGTTTTTGCAGAGTATATAAGGATTTAGTGAAACATTGTTTCATTGAATATCCATTCGAAGTGTGGCAGAGAGTTAGTCATTCAATCAGAAGTAAAAAGCCTACTTGACAGGTTATCACCTCCGACACAGCAACAAGTTCCCTCTAGCTTCTCCAATGATCAGATACACGATGAACTTGAAGAAATACTTGTGCACAACAGATGATCACAGCTATGGACAGATATAGATGACACACAACGAAGAGCCTATCAGAGCTCCTAGCTAAATGCGCTACTGATTTGATACTATTTGGTGATGATGAACTCAAGGAAGGAGAGAATTATCAGGAACCCCCCAAGGAGCTGGAATCTATCATCCGACAAACAACGGCTCTAATGCCCAGGAGTGAAAAGCCCTGGGAAAATATCAACATCAATGCTCCTTTCCAAGAGGAAATCAGAAAGCTTATATGGCGAAGAGATGACAAAGTCAAGGAACTGGACGAATTGAAAACCTATGGCCTTAATCATCTGCGAGGAAAGAACAAGGGCGGACAACTGTTCCTGCTTAGTCATCACTACATGGGGAAATAGAGAGAAGTGTGCCAACATGAACTACAAACAGCAACAGACCCAGTATGGAGCGTACTCAACAGACCCACTCTCTGTTTACCGCCTACAGCTTTCTGACGGGACTGAATTCACCTGCAAGGAAAATGATCTCTATATGCTAAAAATGGACGACATTTACCAGATGTATCTAGATTTCCAAGAGATTCCCATTACCCGCGACAGAACTACACAAGATGGCTTTGAAGCACTCAAGCGCTTTATAATCAGACAAATCAAATTCTTTTCCTCTCATGATCTTCAGATGGCCCTTGAAACCAATCTGCCAAAAACAAACCTCTCAAGACCAAAGCTGTACGGACCGGAGCTTGAAGATTTTCCTGCATACTACATCTTCGATAGCCCGATCACACTCATATATTTGAATCATAATGGTGAGAAGCGTATGATGTTCATTGACGAGCTAAATAAGTACTGTGATGGGACGCTGAAGATTGTGAAAGAAAAATTGGATCCAATCAGAAGGAAATTTGAAGAAAGACAACAGAAGTATGCAGATGCAACAGAAGCCGAACTAACAAAATCGAACAGAATTGACAAAGTGTTGAATGCAATCGAGAAGCAGCTTGACAGAAGAAAGTCTCTCGGGAACTACGAGCATGCACTGAATCTTCGCAAGGACTATTACAAAGCTCAGAAATAAAGGATACCCAAGCAAGACAACACTTGATCACAAAGGGGGAGATTGTTAGAACTATTTTATTGCGAATCAAGTTTGTCTATTATGTCTTGTTTATTTAATAGATTAGGTATACCATTTATGGTATTATTAAGTATGTAATAAATAGGTTGTAAGGGAATAAGGCCCAAAAAGGCTTTAGGCTCAAACTCCTAGGTTACCACTTTAGGTACTTGCACTGCGCCTATAAATATGCGCGTTAGTGTACAAGTCTAAAAGTCAATAATTCTGCTCAGTAGCCGCCTTACGTTGTAAAAACTTCTCGATAAATAGAAAAGAGGATTTCTCTGTTCTCGATATTGCATAGATCATTCTGTGAAATCTTTCTTATCTGTTTATTCGATAATATCCATCTAGCTGTGTGTTAGTCTACAGAAATCTGGAACCAACACACAATGTTTAGATGTACACATTGTGGTTGACATTGTTGAGAAAAATTTACCAAAAACACATACGACCGCGGAAAGGAGAGAGAAATTTCAAAAATTTAATCTTTTGCATCTATGTCTTTCCTGCCACATGTGCAACGCACATATTATAGCATTGGAAATGCTCTTACCTAGAAGTGGATATACTAATTTGACAAAAAACAGCCTAAAATAGGAATAAAGCATAAAAGAAGTGCAAAAATAGGAGTTTATGTTTTATTTTTCTAAATAGGAGTAATACATTTTGAGAAAAAATATACCCTAGTATATAGTGTTTTAGGTTAGAGTGTAGGCCTTAGGATGGTGGATGTTGGCAGTGGTAGCGCGGATTCCAGCGTTAGTTGGAGGAGAAGGTCTGGCGACCAACAAAGGAGGGGAGGTCCAGCAACTGACGGTGGCTGATCGAGGTCCGCCTGGTGGCCGGTGAAAGCCGTAGTACGGCGACTGACAATGGGTGTGATAATAGCTTCAAGCCCTAGAAGGATGTATTTATTCAATCACTAAGAACATCTCCATTCACGATCTTAAAGTAAATGATTTTTCTATTACACAGCATTGTCACATCACTAATACTCAATAAATTTTAAATAATTTCAAATCTTAAAACTATTTGTCAACCATGATACTCAAATAATTATTTATTCTAGTCCATGTATTAAATGCAATTTAACTACAACCTAAAATAATCCGGGATCCAAATCTTGATACCGGATTTTCTTTTTCAATAATCTCCCTTAATAATCTCTCACTCAATAATCTTCCACATCATCCAATTAAACCTCAAATAATCTAATGGACGGGGATGCTCTAATTCTTATTTTTGCATGGTATGAAATTTCTCTTTGACCAGCCTCAATTAAAAGATAAGTTTAACTGCAAACAACCTCAAATAAAAGAGAAGCTTAACTGCAAATCTACTTTTTCAATCTTTGAATTGCAGCCTCCTTCACTTTTTCAAGCTTCCGGTAACGAAAATCGAAAAGTATATCGTGTAATGATTGATAATAGTTAAGTGTCTACATTATAGTCTTAATCTAAAGTTGACATCAAGTACTAAAGGCCGGTTAATTTGGTGCGATTTAAAATGGACAATGTGGACGAGATAGTTACATCAAGTTGTGTTTGGATTGGGATGGCCAAAGGTGATTAAATGTGAACAAATTATATTTTGAATGCATTTTATTAGTAAAATCAAGAAAACATATGCAAAACACTAAATTGACAATCCATTTTCAGGAACTTCAGTAATAAAAAGTAGGATTGTAAATAAATTGAATAGTATTTGTATTTATTAATTGAATTTGATAATTTTCTATATGATTTAAATTTGTATTTGGTTAGAATACAAATTTAATCAAAAGAGTATTTATATTTGATTTGATTACTATTTCAAATATGAGGTTTTTTAAAGTATTAACTCAAATGAAGCTTATTTATAAAAATGTAATTAATAGCTACTAGTACTATACATAGTACGGAGTATAATCTTATAGTCATTTTCTTTACATTTTCTTATTATTACAGTATAATCTTATAGTCATTTAAATGTAAATATTCAACATAATCTATGGAGTATATTATGGTCACTACGTACACATTGTACATCACACACACGACACACACACATATGTAATTATTTCTTCAAATATATTTGATTAAATTTAGTATTGGCTATGAATATTCATATTTGAATATATACTTTTTTTTATCATCGAGTCTAGTTTATCCATACCAAATTTCAGCTAAAAATTCTATCGGGAAAGCAGTCAAATGATTTTTGGAAGTTAACTGCGCACTTTATATACATATAAAATGCAGTTAACTTCCAAAAATCATTTGACTGCCTTCCCGATGGAATTTTTAGCTGAAATTTGGTGTGGATAAACTAGACTTGATGAAGAACATGCTCAAAAAGTTTCATCAAAAAATTCCACCGGGAAGGGGCCCAAACGCCGAGGTCCGTACGGAGGTCCGTTTTTAGAGGTCCTGACATGAACTTTCCTCTCTCTCTCTCTCTATATATATATATATATATATATATATATATATATATATATAATACATAAATGATGTATGTACGTAGTATATAATGTTAAATTTGCAATTTTAATCAAATTAAACTAAAATAAATAAAAATCAAATAACATAAAATCACAGTTTTCCTAATTTTTGTTGGACTTTTTTACGGTAAACGATCAATACAGTTATTTTCGAAACTATTTTAAAAGTCTAGACTCTAGAGTAAAAAACATATGTATATATGAGTCTATGACAATGCAATTAGAAATAATGACTAGAAGACTAAAACCTAAGAAGCCACAAACTTAAAATAGAATGTAAGATTTTAGGTGTATAATATTGCTACTACTACTATTCAAACATACTTGAATAATCTTTTAATCGAATATACGTAGTATCAATATTCATATTTGTATTTGGATATGTTTGAAACGAAATTACAATTATTATTTATATTTTTATTTGATTTTTTAAATATTCACATATAAATTCGAATTAAGAATTGAGCAATAAATATTTGACTTATTTACATTATTCTTGTTCAACAATGATATGACTCATCAACGCCATCAAATTAGTCAAAGTTATGAAATAAAAACGGTGGTCATACAATAACAAAGATGTCATCTTTTAGTCATAGATGTAGACATGTAGTTCAACGATATATATTTTAATATGAATATATGTTTTAATATGAATCTTTTGAGCGTGGACTTTTTATGGTAATTATCTAGCTAGGTGAGTAAATATGAATTTAGGATTGGAGAAAAGTAGTTCAACCATATAAAATTTAATACAAAAACTTTTGTGTATGGATTTTTTATCCAGCTTGAATGGAACCAGGTGCAAATTGATCCCTCCACTCATATAGGGGTCAGAACTAAATCGAATCGATCAAAATTAAATCCGATAAAATTGAAAACAAAAATATTGATCTAATCCACGGTGATTTAGTTTACGGTTGATTTTACGGATTTAAAATGAACTCATAAAATTTAGAGAATATTATCCGAAATGAGACTAAAAAAGTTTGAAAATTCCAAAATACTGTCAAGTTTTTATTCCTAAAATAAAACTAATTATTGTCATATTTTGACAGTATCAGACTTCAAACATGACAATATTTTCCAAACTTGACAGTTATTATTCCTATTTTGAGAATAAAAATATGACAGTCCTATTTTGAATTTTTCAAACTGTTTTAATCTATTTCGGGAACTTTTTTTCCAAAATTTTATCCAAACGTGCTAAAAAGAATAGATACGACCCAATCGATAAACACCATACAATCATGGATACAGTAGCTAATATTAGAACATATGAGAACATATTAGAACAGTAGCTAATCATGGATACCTAGCTAATTGAATTTTAGTTTTTACTGGGAAATTACGAGGAGCTTTATTACTCCCTCCGTGCAGTTGGAATGTTCCCGGTTTGACCTACACACATATTTAGGAAATAAACTTATCAGGGGGTAAATTTACTATTTTGACACTGTTTGGACACTGTTTGACACTGTTTTGCACTGTTTGACACTGTTTTGATATATGATAACTTTCTATTTAGGGAAATGATAACTTCTTTTTGGGACATCCAAAAAAGAAAAAAAGGAAAGCGGGAACATTCCAACGGGACGGAGGGAGTAGATTTTAAACTCTGTTCTAAAAATCGTTCTAGGTGTCCGACTAGTCCCCGCCTAGGCGCTAGGCGGTGGTCGGGCGCCCCGATTTTCGTCTAGGCGCTCCGACTAATTGGTCGGCCGCCTATGGCGCCTAGTTGCCCGCCTAGAGCACCTAATCGAACGCCTAGGCCGTCTAGATTCGCCAAACATTACTTTACTTTTTAATTTCAATTTTCTAAGCGATATACGTAATTTAGATTTAGCCATGGATATCAAGAAATGAAGTTGTAAGTTAAGATAAAACTATATATGTTTCTATATATACCTAAATTTCATCATTATTTATATTTATAACATAATGAAGTTAAGTAATTAGTTATCATATACGGAGTACTAGTTACTACGTATGATTAAATGTGATAATTCTATCATTCATGTTTATTGATGTATATGTATATATGTATTTTATACACACAAAAATACAATATTACTTATCATATTTATGCAAAATATAGATATAAATGCAATTCTTTTGTCTCCGACTAGTCCCCGACTAGGCTCCCGCCTAGCCGCCTAGGCGCTAGGCGCTGGGCTGGCGCCCGA